ACTAGTGACACTTTGGTTCACAGGCGGGCACTCAGTCTACTGAGCCACACCAGCCAGGGCCAGGTCTAGGTTTATAATTTCATTCTTTAATAAAAGGAACCAGGGCTCCTGAGAAAAATGTCTGCAGACCTGGAGTAAGGGTCATAAAAGATGATCCTGGGGCAATGTTAATGGCCAAAAGTATGTACTCAAAATGAAAGTGAAAATCCCTAAAGTTGGAACAATTTGAACAAAATAATACATGTTGAATTATAGTCTAACTGGAAAATTAACATCCATGAACCCACAGTGGTATAAAGTAATGATTGAATAAATAATAACCTGGGGTACATAGACAAATCTCCCACACAGAATTCTCAATAATTTATGTAGATAATTCACCCTCCAGAAGTTGAAGCACAACTCCCCACCCCTGAGGTGTGGGCTGCACAGTGACTTCCTTCTTAAGAAGACAGTACAGAGAGGGGAAGGACAGTAGCTTTACAATAGAGAAACCTGACAGAGACTGCCTCAGCCAGGTGATTAAGGCCAACACCATTACTGATGAGCCAGGTCTAATAGTATAGATCCTCCCATATTGTGATGAGAATGGCACTGTGGTCTTCCTCCTGAAACCAGTAACCCCTGTCTAATTATGACAAAAATGGCAGACAAATGCAAATTGAACAACACACTACAAAATACCTGACTAGTCCTTCTTGAAACTGTCCAGGCCATCAAAACAAGAAACCATACAGCCCAAGAAGACTTGAGAACTAAAGGTAATAGGGTATTCTGGATAGGACCCTGGAAGCTAAAAAAGGCTTTAATAGAAACAAAGAAACCCCTCAAAAGTATTTGTTCATTAGTTGTGCCAAATGCACCACAGCAATATTAACAATAGGGAAAACTGTCTATGTGGTATTTGGGGACTCTTTGTGATATTATTGCAACCTTTCTGTAAATCTAAGACTAATCTGAAATTAAAGGTAATTAGTAGGGATTAGTCTATCCCTAAAATGAACTACAATACAGCTATAAAAAGGAAAGAGGAAGCTTTTTAAGAATTGTATTGGAAACTGTATATTGTTATTGAAAAAGTATGGTGCAGAATTGTGTGCTTTTGTTTATAAAAAGACAATGAGGATATATATGCTTTTGTTATATGTGCAAAGGAATTCTAAGAGAATACAGAAAAAACATTATCAAAATTTTCTATAGGGAAGGGTGTGGGAACTGAGCATATTGGGCAAGGGAATTGACAGAAGTCTTTCCATACTATATTTTCCCATGCATTTTTTGAATCATGTGAATAGAGCACCTATACAAAAATTCACCTGTAAAAGGAATATAGGACATAAACAGTCCTAACCATTGCAACCCCTGAGCTGAGTATTCACAAACTAGAAACAGAATAAAGGGGAGTAAAAAATTTTCATGAACCTCAATTCCAAATCTGACAAGATATTTCCATTTTAAGCTTTTTCCATAACTTATAACTGGCCCAAGAATATTTCTTTTATGTGAAACTTTATATTGTTGATATCAGTTCAAAAATGAATTTTTAAACTTGAGTAGGTTCCATCCAACTTCTCATAAACTATGAGAGAGTGAAAGTACATATGTAAAACCTAACCAGAAAAAAAAAGCAAGAGACCTAGTTTTTCCTTCTGGCAAGAAAAAAAAATCCCCTCAAACATTTAAACCCAGCAAGGTTACAGTAATCATCAGGAACAGATGTAATCTTAGCCAAGGGAAGAGGTAAACTGTTTACACTTAGACCAAGAGCTGGTGGAGTCCTGAGCACCAGTGCGCATGCCCACCCAGCAACATCTTAATAGAAAAAGTGCACTGAAGAGCCCAGGCGCGCTGCTGGCTGTAGTGTGGTCGATCATTATTAATGCAATTCCAGTGTGGGAACTGCATTTCCTACTGGCTCAGTTTTTGATCTGTTTCAAACTGTCACTGTGTTAACTACAAGGCATTCTGCAGACAACCCACCTGGATCAGCTCAGTGATTGTGAAATATATAGGATTTGTCCAGTTGTCTTAACAATATATATTTCAGGGTCTAGTTTTTCCAGGGCCTGACCAAGGATAAGCTGTAAAGTATTTGAGAGGTTGGATATTTGGCCTCTCTCTAGACCCATGGGCCTAGATTGATTCCCCTGTATATAACATGAATATTAGTAAATAACCATAGAATACTTTTTAGTTCTATAAAGTTGACTTGTTTTTCCCAAAATAAGAATGATAATAATAATAGTAATAGCTAAAATTAAATATGATTGACTTGTGCCCATCACAGTGTCATTTGCCTTGTGTCATTTAATTCACACATAATTTTATGAGATAGTTCTATTATTCTCTCCATTTTGAAAAGGAGAAAAACATAAATAAGATTCAGAGAGGTTAAATAACTCCTAAGCCCAGTGGGTGAGAGACCATCCTCCTGAATACTTTACCAAATGTGCCTGGCTTTGGGCTGAGTTCTAGAAAGCACTATATACATGTAATATACTAGTGTATGTTACTAGTGAAACAATATACCAAGAGTTTCAGATACATTTCTTTTTTTATTGTTGTAGTTCAAGTACAGTTGTCTCCATTTTCACCCCACCTCACCCCCCACCCTGCCCATCCCTGATTCTCACCCTCCAACTACCCGCTTTGGCCTTGTCCGTGTGCCTGCATACATGTTCTTTGATGGCCCTTCCCCTGCTTTCCCCCATTTTCTCTCTCTCTCTCCCCTCTGGTTAACATCAGTTTCTTCTTTAATTCAAGGTTTCTGTTTTTATTTTGCTTTCTTGTTATTTGACCCTCACAGCAGCACTATAACTTTGAATATTGATACTACTTTCATTTACAGATAAGGAAAATGAAACTCAGATCACCTAGCTAGTCAGTGGCAGTTATGAGGTACCAACACAAATCTTCCAACTAATCCGCGTCTACTTACTGTGCTCTTTCATTACCCTGAATTTTCAAAGACAAATTTTATTTCTAACAGCCCTTATTATTTAAATAGTTTAATCTTTCATATTTCAACTGCATCGCTAAATGTAATTTTTAAAAGAGCAAACATTTCAGTTAGGTAAGTGAAATGATAACTTTCTTAATTTTTAAAACCATTATCTATAAAAAGACATTAGAAATAAAAAAACAGTTTTAAAGAGTCAGTTATATTTCAGCATAAGGTAATAGTCATATAAATGTATTTTGTGCTTAATAAGTATAATTACATGTAGAATTATAATCAATTATCTAATAATTTTTGCATCTCTAATTAAAACCATTTTATTAATAAAACAATTCACATTTTAATCCATTCTTTTTTAAATTGCTTTTAGTCAATAGATTTTTCATATCTGAAGTGACTCCCACTATTTTCAAAAGAAATTTGTTATGGAAAAAATATGAAATAATAATTGAACTCCACTCAGGATGATATAGGGAAGCCTAGTGGCAATAATTTGTGTATCTGACATTCAGGAAAGATGATCTAGAGGGAGCCTATGAGAAACAGACCAGTTTTCATTCATTAAACCAGATTTTAATTGTTATATATTTTTTGCTTCTTTCTAATTTCTATAAGTATAAAAGAATCTAAATTAAACAAATTATAAGTTAGTATTTATAATATCTTCCTAAAATCATAAATTACTATCATTTTATACATACTTTGGGGGACGTAGCACCAAATAGAAAAAGTAACTGCAAAACCCAGAAATGGCAGCATCCAACAACCCGCCTCTGTTCTCATAACTCCTCTGCGTGCTCCATTCCTACCTCCCTGAAAAATTCACTCCAGTGGCAGAAAGTAGAAAGTGTGTTGATGGTTTCCTAAGAGAGATAGGGGTGCGGTTAGCACTGGGAGGGCGGGGTTCGCATTGAGCAGCACAGTACTCCTGAGATCCCATCCACCTCTCCCAAGCGGCTGGTTCCACCTTGCTTTTGCTGGAGCTTTTCAACTCTTCACCTTAAGCCTCTTCAGTTTTCCTTCTGTACAACCAACCATCACTTGTCAGCAAAGGACATTCTGGACAGCTCAGTTACCTGGGTTCACCTCCAGACATGGGAGCACTGGGTGTGTGTGTGGATTGCGCATGATATTTGCCTGCCACAAGTGAAACTCAGCATGATATAACCAAACATGAAAAGAAGATAGATGTTAATACTTATATTATAGACACTATAAAAGTTGTCTAAGGCTTTTGACATTTACTTCTTTCTCACGTGAACAAATGCCATAAAAGATAGTGTCGCTCTGTTATTTGCTTTTTTCTAGAAAGTTGCAGAATAATAGACCACATCATTGACTTGTTTATTTTGGTAACGGTGGCACAGTGGTGTCCCTGTCACTCTTACCGCACTGTCATCTGACTCTCACCACCACCACCACCACCACCACCACCATTGTGCATAATTTGAGAACAGTTTACAGAAGTAACAAGTCTACGCCTTGGAAAAGAAAAATAATCTTGATGTTTTACATAAAAATGCACATTTTTGACATCCATTGAAAATCTTCCAGCCCAAATTTCCACATGGTAACAATCAGCTAAAGCCAAGTGTTGGTCAACTATGCACAACATCCTCAGCTCTGAGTTCAGCTCCACTGTCTACAGTGACTGAATCCACCTCATAACCAGCTTTCCTCACCAGCTAATCCAACCAACTTCTGTGTCATTTACGTATGTACTGTTATTTGAATATCATAAAAATATTTGTTTTCTATTTCAAAGTAATCTTTGGATGGATTTCAATTTTTGTGTCTTAAAATAAAAAAATTCTTCAGACAATTGTGTAGTGTTATAGAAATTTACAGTTATTTGGTGTGTCAACTGCTATTAGTTTACTCAAAATATAATTACTAATTTATCATAAAGAAACAATAGTCTTAAAATTTGCCCTCACAAATAATGAAAAAGTATATTTTCTACCCTAAAGACCTCTTGGATTACTTTGTTCGAAAATATCTATCAAAATAATGCCTTAGCCTTTCCTGGGTTGTATTTCAGCACTGCACATGTCCTTAGAAGATAGCTTAAAATGGCTTGGAGAGGTTATGGCTGAAATAGGACCATCCAATTTGCAGAAGAATGAGAAATGGAGTATCTTTGATACAAAACAAGCCAATGCTATTATTGATTACTTAAAAATCAGGTATGGATGTCTTTTCAGTAGCATTTATATTTTAGTTCATGTCTTCTAGAAAATGTCTACTAAGTAGAAACTAATTAAATTTTTAGCAAAGTTTGACATTTACAGAATTTATGCAGTAATTAACCCAACAAAGAATGATAATATTTTAATCTTCCATTAATAAATAAAAGTCAGGACATTGAATGATTAAGCTAACCTCACACTCTGAAAATAAGGTTTGTGTTTGATAAGTATGATTTTATTTAGGATTGTAATAAATTATCTAAGTATTTCTTTTTCCTCTAAATCTCTAATACCATTTTATAAATAAAATGATTCTTTCAGATTTTTCAGACTGGATTACAATAGAATTTATATTTTAGGTAGTTGGCCTTGACATCAAAATTTTACATTTCAAAGAGCAACATTAATTTCCACTTAAATATTTATTTTAAATGATTTGTACTAGAAATTAAAAAGATTTATGTATATACTTACTCAAATTTATTATGTGTCTGGAAATATTTTGTAGTATTGACCAATTAAACTCAGTAAATTTTTCTTTCTGCTTAGAAAATGATGGTATATGGAGGGAAAGTATTTTTATTACAGTGATTATTGGTGAACTAAGAAATCTGTCTTTTTATTTAATCTGTCACAAGGTCTGCATTAGAGTCATGCATCTCTCCCAGGGGACATTTTTAGAGTTTGCAAATGTTTAAACAAGAGTTGGTAAAAATCTTTCCTTTGTCTAGCTAAAAGCTTCTGCAGAATATCTTTGATCCTCTAATACTGTGTACTACAGTGTTTTCCAACTTTAAAATTTAAAATTCCAAAATAAAGGGTGCTTCATGATGTTCTAGATATGCTCATGGTTTGCTTGGCAAGGATCCTGGTTGTATCTGGAAGCTTTTTAAATATTAATGTGTTTAATATGATGAGGTTTATATACTGGTTTCTGGCATGAATTAATAATGGTACATGATATGTTTTTATATAATAGCATTTGATTTCTTTTTTTGAGATTTTATTTAGAGAGAGGGGAAGGGAAGGAGAAAGAAGGAGAGAAACATCAATGTGTGGTTGCCCCTCACGTGTCCCCAACTGGGGACCTGGCCGGCGACCCAGGCATGTGCCCTGACTGGGAATCGAGCCAGCAACCCTTTCGTTAGCAGGCCCACACACAATCCACTGAGCTGCAGCAGCCAGGGCAGCATTTGATTTCTTAACATAGAAGCACACCTCTGATGTGTGTCTCCCACTGAAAGCCACAGTAGTCTTCATATCAATTAATAAAGCCAGATCCTTGTGTAGGGGAAGAGGAGGGAGTGAGAATCCAGAATTGAAGGAGAACCTGATCCCCAAGTTCTTCCTGCATCTCAGGGTTTGAGAATCATTGGGCAAAGGGCATCCTCATCACATTTGTATAGCATTCTTCTTTCCCTTTCTCTCTGTTTAAAACTGCTAGGTCTCTTTTGCAGAGCATACTTTTACCGCTAAGTTCTAAGCCCAGGAGGTTTATAATGGGCACTGGGACTGACGGTGAACCATAGCAGCAAAACCAGTGCAGGTGCTGTAATGACAGCTGCTAGATGGTGAAAGATGTGGCTCTTTTCTCCTTCATCTCATCTCTCTCATCAGTGTACTCCTTAACATTTTATTTCAGCAAATGGTTAAGAGGCAGTGTCAGTGTTAGTCACTGTTAGATCCTAACCAGGGTAACCACATACCAAAAATCCCCAGTCTCCTAAAAAAGAGTAATATTTTTGAGATATTAGTCATATAAAGTAAATCAGAACTATTTTGATGCTGTCAAATCTTTATACTGTGATTTCAAAGAAATTATACATTTTAAATGTACCTGCTACGAAAAATAAAGTATCAGTTAGTAGTAGATCTGGGATCGATACTGAAATTGTATAAAGAGAAATGTGCTTTTCTATAACACCTGTTCAGAATGCCTCATAGATCCACAAATGTTAATTTAATAGCAATTAAGTCACATAATACTTTTTATTTTAATGACTACAAAAGAATGTGATAAATATGAAGCTAACTCAATTACTGAAAGTATAAGCATGCTTCAATTTAACCTAACATAAATTTACTCAACCAGTGAAAGCACTCTTCACTTTAGGGAGAGTAGTTTTTGGAACATGACCCCACAGCATATGAAACTTAATTGGCAATAAAATTGAAATCTCATTTGATACTGTTAATAGAGTCTAAATCAGTGATTTTCAACTGGTGTGCCACAAGAATGTTTAAAACATGCAATATCTGACTATTTAGTCAGGGGCACCGACCTCTTTTCCCATAGATTGTCTAATATAACATGACAACAGCCAACAGAACAATAGCTGCCTAGTATAAATGGATCAAAATTATACCTATTTTTGTTAGATCAGCAAAAAATATATATATTTTTGGTGTGCCACAGAATTTTAGTAGTTTATGTGTGTTTTGAGATGAAAAAGTTTGAAAATTGCTGGTCTAAATTGTATATTCTGTTATGTGTCTATGATTTGAAAAAGAACTAATACCAAAATTCCTCCCCAACATTACTGTAAGTACTGATGGATCTTCTTAGGCAATATATACAGTTGTAAATGTTGGATAACATACAAATACAAATATAAATACTCCTTCAGCTCTTGATTATAAGACATCATTTAGATATGCACGTGTATCTGGTCCAAGTACGCTTCTGCCATTGTGTATTCTACCCAGTCCGTGGGCACTGGGTGAAGCAATGTGCAGAGGCATATGCACAATATAAGAAAATGGACACTGCTCCTTTGTGCACAACAAGGTAGCACGCTTTCTGGCATGGAGCCAGATGTCTTGACCCATTCTCATTCTGGGTATTTTCCTTTTGATATATGTGTAAGTCAACATGGTTAACAAAAATAGTCTATGGGTTTGAGTCAGCCAGCAGTCTAAAGGAAGAGGAAGGAAATGTACCCTCAAAGCAGAGGTATCCCTGGGCTCCCAGGGAAGGCCAGCTAATTTGCCTTGGGGAACTTAAAGAACCCCAGCCAAGGTGCAGACCAGTGTGGGGCAATGGAGGTAACTGACCTGCCCCTGAGTGATGTGCCTCTCACCCCTCCTCTCTCTCACTCTCATCCTGGCCTTGCCCCAACCTTGCGTCTTTGACCATGGCATCTAAGTCATGAATTTCCCTGTTGGCATGGGAAAGTCTAATTACTATATGCAATGAGGAGAATAAGTCTGAAGGATTATGAAGTTTCAGGAAGGAAGACTTATGAATTAATTTCAAGATGTAGAAAGAAAAATTTTATACTAATTCTCTGAGAGGAAGCCAAACTATTTACAAAATACTTTACAGTTTTTAATTTTTCTGCTCAAAATCAGTTATTGTCAATGTAATCTTTTTAACTTTAAAACTTTCTCTAGGTAAGCAATGTAAGGAAGGGAGAATTTGAATTTATTTTGTTTCATGGAATTATCAAACCTCACTAATCTTGATGTATTTTTAGCCAACAAATCAAAGTAATGTAAAAAGCTAAGTTAATTTTCTGAATGTTGATGACTAATTTGAATGTATTAGGTTCTTGCCCCCTCCCCAAAAGTACAATAAGTGAGTCTGCACACCCAACACTTTTTAATGGAATATGTTAGTAGTGAGATCAACTGCAAATATAACTCAGGGAGACTCAGCTGCCTGAGGATTTCTTCATTGATTTCAAATGAATTGAAACTTTGATCCATTACAGCATTCAGAAGAAGTCATTATTATACATGCTCTGTAGCTACATTTTGCAAATGTTAATTTCTCAGTTATATTAAAATCAATTTTCTTAAATAGCAAGAGGCACCAGAGTGAAAGAGAAACCACTAAGACAATTTTTTGTTCTTGGGCACTTTGCTGTATTATGAGTCTATTAATTTTCCCAACCAGCAGGAAGAGAATTAGAAATATTCAAATATTATCACAAACAGGATATTAGAAGTCAGCCCTTCAGTAAAATTTTAACTTTTAATAATACATTGCTGAGATCTTTAAATTTACTAGAAATATGTGTTTAAGAGACTCATATTTTTTGGCTCTTTATAATTTTTATACACTGACCACTTGGTCTTTAGGGTAGGAATTGAAAAAATTATCTTTCTGAAATTAATTCCTCTCTTTGATATGTGATCAAATATTCTACAAGAAAATCAGACATCTTCTAAGTAGATTTCAATTCACATTGTATCATATTTCAGTAGTTATTGAGATTAATTTAATCTTGAAACAGTTTTAGAAGGGGAGAAGAAATAACTGATATAGAATTCAGTGCCATTCATACCAGAAGAAACTGACTCCAGTTTGGAGCAAATATGAAAAATAATGTGAAGTTTCTGTGTTATTTAGGGACAGTGTATTATTTCGTTGTAAGCCAGGGAATGTCAAGTTGAATTATAATTACTCCCTTATCCCCAACCTATCTACTTATCATGATTAATTTGCTGATATTATTTTAGATACTGTGCTATATTGTCAATGTCTCAAAAAGTAAACCTTTAATTTATTAGTATTTATAAATAAAATTAATTTATTCCAAATTTATTTTGTAATAAAGGAGCTGGCTAACTCCATGGTAGTGTTTAATGTCTTTAGCTTGGTCAATATGGAGAGCTTACCTTTAATAAACACTCTTACATATTTGCTTTTTTCTTGAAATAAATTTATCACAGTTGCACATTCATTTTATATTTCAGCTTATTTCAACACTACAAGCTATATGAATTTCTGTTCTACTCTACCAGGGAAGAAATTGTGATAGGAACTGAGGTAAGTAATTTATCTAGACGGTACTAATTAAGCTGAATCACTTAATGCATGCTGATCAGCATCTGGATCTTTAACTGCTTAAAGCAAGTTCTTGTCAAGATTACTCAAGTGTTAATATAACCAACTAGTGGTTTACAAAAAGAATAATTACATAAAGTGAGCTTCGGATTAAGAAAATAAGCTGTCTTTTGGCATTAAAAGCATTGTTAATCATGTATACTTTAGATATTTATGGATTGATTATTCGGCAAAGCTCAATTGGATAAGGTTAGTATATCTTCATAGAAATAAAATCAGGAAAAGTGAGATAAATTAATTCAGTTAAATCTCTTCTAATTTCACATTTATTTTCAGTCTACACGTTTAAGGCCTAATTCAAATCCCACTTCCTCAATGAAACAAACCTTCTTTAATTGCATCACATCTCAAAGGAAGGGTTTAGGCAAACTCTTCAATCACATTCCATTATTTTATTCCAATTACTTCTTTCTGCTGAAAACTGGCTACTTTTCCACACCAATAAGCACATACATATTATTGTGTTATGTGCATTGATAATATAGTCAATACAACCTGACTATTGTTTCCTTGAAGAAAAGGATCTACCACAGCGTACAGTATAATGCAGGACATAGTAATCCCTCAACTAACACTGCATAAGTGATTCAGTGATGATGTATAGAATAGCCTTTCTGTGGTCAGTGGTCTACCTGGACACACTTTTGAACAGCCTTACAAATAATCACATATCTGGAAGGACCAGAAATGAATTATGTGTAAGGCAATACCTTTGGGGAGGCTAAAAATGCCATAAAACAGATTTTCTTAGGTATTCTAGTATTTTAGGAGGCTACATTGCTTAGAAGTATAAGGGATAGGAGTGGCTATGTTCAGAACAAGGGGACAGAACAGTCAGAACTGTTCAGAACAGTAAACAAGGGGATATTATGGTATCTTTATATTTTACCGATAGTAAGAACCAGATGGAATGTGCCAGCTATTTGGCCTTCCAGAGGATCGTTGTTTTGGTGTTTACAAATTGCTCACTTCATAAACACGTCAGCCACGTTACCCTCCAGTTGGGTGTTTGTTTTTAATGGTGCCCTTTTAAAAATGAGCTGAAGGAAAACCAGCAACTGTTTTGCTCTTGAGTTTCCTTTAAATTTTTTCTTTGCAGTGTCCTTGTAGCCTAAGTTAAATGTCACTTGACAAAGTTTCACTGGGAACGTTTCCATTGAGAATTGCATCATCCAGTGCGGCAGCATTGCAGTGGTTGTCGGCAGGGCATGCAGTCCCCCTCATCCGCTCAGGACAACTTTGGGAAAGTGGTGGTGGCTTCAACAGAAGCATAAGCAGAGATTTAGAATTATCAAGAAAAATGTCATAAAGAACTCCCTTTTTGCTTTGTTAATTGCACAATCATGCCTTTCTTCTCTGTTGTAAGGATATATTTAGGTGACATTTATTCTTCTGGAAAGATAAAATGGAAAAATAGACAGGGATTGGCTCCCTTATTTGCCATTGTCTTTTGTATTTTCCCCAAGCTCATCTGAACTATAAAAATCATCTTGAAGGAAAAGATATTGGGTCTTCCTGTATTAGACCTCTCATGGAATTTTAAAGGATTAACTAAAGCAGTTACTGTAATACAATATTTTGTGGCATTTTAGAATTGCCTGGTAACTGTTGGTGCAAACATCTGTCTTAATTAAATTAAAAACCTTTCGTGGAAGAGGCAGGAGCTTTGCCTACTAATGTGATCATTCTTTCCGACCTCAGTGCTCTGGGACCCAACAAGGGCCAGGTGATGACCGCATGAACGGTCCAAATTTGAGTGTCAGGCAAGTATTCAAGTTAAGTAACTGATGGAATTTCGTTTTTAAATTGTGGATGGAAGATTAGAACAAAATACATAAATCACCTCTAAGAATACATGATAAATATTAATTTTAAAATTAATAAAGAATATAAATAATGCTCCTAGTTTGGTTTTAGTTTAAATTGATTTTTTTAAATTGAATGATAGTTTCTAGCTATTTCTACTCTTTTTAAAAAAGATTTTATTCATTTATTTTTAGAGAGGGAATGGAGGGAGAAAGAGAGAGAGAAACATCAATATGTGGTTGCTGGGGGCCATGGCCTGCAACCCAGGCATGTGCCCTGACTGGGAATCGAACCTGGGATGCTCAATCCACTGAGCTGCACCAGCCAGGGCTTTATTTCTACTCTTTTTAAAATAAATTTCATGTTATTCTTAGATCAAAGCAGGCACATTTCAGTAAATCATTATTCTTAACCTGAGAATTTTTTGTAATTTAGAAATCTTTTTTAATAGACATAATTTTATGATCAACATGTTTGTCATTTATTCAGTGGTTTACAGTTTATACATGTTGAAAAAGGCGGTAAACAACCAGAATGAGCTGGGATAGTGATACAATGTATCAGAATATGGAAGCAGCAAATGCCTATATTTGTAGCCACCAGAGTAGATAAAGTATGTGAACGTCACTCACTTTATTTAAAGAGATGAGGTCTACCTTTCAGTCACCCAAATCAGGAGCTCTCCAAGTCTACTGTTTTGACAATGCAGTTAGCTTACAGACTCCCTAAGAATTGAAAGTAAACCAAAATCTCTTTAGAGGATATATATTTTCCTTGGCCTGAGCCCTCCGCCCAGAAACCTGAAAACTGCTGTCTATTGTTTTTGTTAAGTAAAAACTGTAAGAAATATTTAATAACTTCACACAAAGAACTCTATTGGATGTTAACAATGGTGATGATCAAAAACTCAGAGCAGACACCCAAAGTCATTGTTCCAGCCCAGTGTCTACTGCCAGATACCAACTAAAATTAGATGCTGCAGCTATACAATTGTGTATTTATTGTTTCAGCATATGTTATCAAGCTCCTATTATGTTTAAGCCTTGCACTGAGTTTCAGGTGTACACAGTGACAAGCAGCAATGCTTGTCCTCAAGGAGTTCACACTCTGATGAAAAGAGAGAGAAGAATAAATAGGTAATTACAATATAGGACCCCAAATGTTATGATCCCATGGAAACAAATAGAAGACAAAGAGGGAATATCTAACCTATAGATTTAAGGTTCATGGGAGCTTCTAAGAATAAATGGAATCTAATAGGAGACCTCAAGTTCTTAAATGAGTTAGCCAGACAATGTATTATAATTTGGAGTGGTGGGAATGAGAGAAATTCCACTAAAAATACCTGGTAAGCACATGTGGTAAGCTAGACCAAGGTTAACTAAACCTAAGTAGTGAAACAAAGTTATTAAGTGTGTATGTACATGAGAGTGGGTCTATTACAAATGCATGTGTCTCATTCTCACATCCTAGTTTCCTTTCACCTCTATGATTCTCTCTGTTTTGGCCTCATTCCCTTCGACTGCAGACAGGCTTCCTCCAACTGGCAGGAGACATGGCACAGTCAGCTCTGGTTTGACAGCTCCAGAAGAAAAGTCCTTCCTCACAATGTTGATATTACTGGCTATGCTTGTGTCCTGTGTCCACACCTGAGTAACCCCTGAGTCCACACCTGATTAATGTTATTAGAATACCAAACTAGGCCATATTGAATGGCTAACAGGATGTATATACATACCTAAAAGAAGCAGAAAGAAATTTTGCAGAATGGAAGAGTGATTTTATCAAAAGAGTGAAGTAAACATGTGTACACAATTCTTCTTCCATCCATAACCCTATGAGATCAAAATTTTCAAAATCCATAGTGCTATGGATGAGACACCTTATGATATCTAACATTATAGATTATTGATTAGATGAATCCATAGTCTCATATGTACAAAGAAGATGATGCAGAGTTAATGAAGGTTTCTTAGGCAGCCTCAATTGATATGGAAATGGGAGAAAGCTTTAGAGGGAAAAATGAAAGTAAGTAGGAGACTACTTTCAGAGCAACTGCATTATTCAGCCCCTCACCCTCTGGTGCTTGAGCAGAGCACTGGAACTCCACAGTATTTGCTACAAGCTAATGAAACTAGTGCAGACACTGACATCCAACAGGAGAGCAGCTCTGTAGTGGTTACTGACCTTCAGGAAAGACAACAAATAGAGCTACATGTATGCTACCGACACACCTAACTACCATCATCGTTTGCCCCTCCTGCGGTCTCTGGAGGCAAGCTACTGCAAACAAACATGCCCAGACACATGGACTGGAGTCAGCTAATGTAAAAATAAGATGGAAGCCCCAAAATCATCTAACAGTTGAGGAAAGTAAAAACATACAGATGCATGAAACTTTACAAACAGATCAGGTAATAGCTAAGGAAGAGTTAAGTGAGCAAATGGTCAATGACCAATTAATATTTTCAGAAAAATTTGAAATTTTATTATATTCTTGAAAAACTGAACTAATAGAGATCTTAGAAATTTAAAATATGAGTTGAAACATTTAATAAATAGGTACAATTTTATGTTGATAGATTTGAAAATGTAAAAAAAAATGATATCAAGGAGTCATAAATTACCAGCATTTTCTTGAGAAAATGCAGAAAATCTTAATAGAATGAATGATAACCATATAAAATACTGAAAAATCTGTGCATAGAAATGGCATCAGACCCAGAAGGTTTTATAGGCCACTTTTACCAAAATTTCATAGATAATTCCCTTTTATGAATTGCAATGGAAGATAGGAGATAGAAAGCTTTCAACTCATTTGAAGTTAGTATAATCCTGAGAAAGGCTATAAATTGATACTGAATTATAATGAAAAATGGAAAAAAATACTGCAAAGTTATGGGCAATCTCAGTTATGAAAATAGATGCAACAATCTTAGATAAAATATTAGAAAATGAAACATAGCAGAGGATTAGATGTTCATATAGGGTGTATTCCAGATATGGGAGGATGGTTTAACATTGGGACATTTATAAATGTTTTTCATTTATAAATGAAAAAACAAGTGATCATCTCAATAGATATGGAAGAGATTTAATAAAATTCAACATTAATT